AATTTTAGGATTCATAGTGAATCAAATTCCTAATAAACATAATTTCACTTGATTTCTTAAATTTGTTGCAAATAATAGTAAGCATACATCAAGCCTAACTATTTTGATGATGATACGATTTTTTTTTTTTTTTCTGAAAAATGGTTCCCTAAACTTTAGGGATTTTTGAATGTTAAAACTGATTATAAAACTGGTTAGTGTTAGTTTATCGTGTAAGGAATGATAATGTAGGTAATTAAAAAAATCAAATTCCTATATTCTCTCCTTTTGAAATTAATTATTACTCAATTAGCATTAACGGTAAAAAGAACTGTGATCCTTGATCTCTTCCTTTCAAGATTATCTTTATAATGAAACTGATAAACTCCCTGGAATAAGTGAAACCTCCCCGCACGATTTCGTGAAACCTCCCGGGTGATTTTGTCAAATAACATATTAACTTCAATTTTTAAATTGCCGGATGAAGTAAGATAATAATAACCAAAATTTCCAATTAATCAAAATTTGTTGCTCTATGTATTAGTACTCCTATTTTATTATTTTTGAAAAACAATAGATTCTTATTTCAAATTTTATGCAAATTTTTTTTAAAAAAACCTAACCCTCGTTCCCTTTCTTTTTTTTTCGGCTGCACCCTTCTTCCCCTTTACCGTCGCCGCCGGTTTCTGTCTTTGTCGCAGTGGCACAATCTCCCTCTTTCTTCTCTTTTTTCTTTGCTTCCAGACCGCATAGTCTCTTTTCTTCTCGGCTATTACTGCAGCGCGCTCTCTTTTCTTTTTGACGTAAATAGTCGGATTTTGGACTTAAATAGCCGGATGTAAATAGCCGGATTCTCCTACAACTTAATGTTTTGACGCAAATCCCTTTTGAGATTGAATAAGCCGCCATTATTGCACAATATTCTTCCTCTGTCTCAATTGTCGAATCCTTTAAACTGCTTCAATTGAAGATTTCTGAAACACGATGACTAGTAATTCCTCCATGGTTTCATCAATGCAGATTGAATGTGATGCCGATGATGAATTTGAATGATATTCCTAAGAGAGAGGGGAGAGATATATATACAGAAAGGAGAAAACCGATGGGAGCAAATTAAAGTCAGGTGCTGTTTTAGCGAAGATGATTCGGTGGGTTATTTAGTCACTTACAAAAAGAAATTACCTAATTCAAAATATAATTCATGGTAAATTTATAAAGTAACGGATTTACTTATATATAATAACTGTTTAATGAATGATCAATCATTAAAAGACATGTGTAATAAAATCAATTGGACGGCAATGTCACCCCATCTCCTTCACGTGGTCAATCATTAAATGACATGTGTAATAAAAGCAATTAGAGGGCAATGTCACCCCATCTCGTTCACGTGTAATTTACCTTGACTAATCAATATTCTGTTTCTTGTTTTTTGGGTGTTTTGTTTGTCATAATGATTCACCACATCAACTTGTTCGTTATTGGTTATCATACTATATTATAATTGCAGAATAACCATAAAAGTTTAGTAGTCCCTCATTTAGTTTTCTTTTTTTTTTTTCTTTTTTTGAGTTGTCCCTCATCTAATTTGGACAAAAACATTTACATTTTCTCTAATTTATTTCATTATTATCTTACTTATTGCTCATTATCTTTAAATTTATGCTAATAAAGTACTTCCTTATGTCCACGTTTATGATAATAAATTGTCATCCATCAGAAAACAATTTATAGTGAACCTTTGATCTACCTTTCCATTAACTTTTATCTTTAACATTAAAAAAAAATTATTATTACAGAATTTGTTCAGTCGAAAAATGGTTTCAGCGATTTTAATCACTTTGAATCTCAAAATGTCTTTTCTTCTTCTTTTCTTTTCTTTGTAATAGATTCCTAAATAATAGTTTAAATGGTTCTACAACTGAAAAGAAAATAAAAAATCATTTAGTCTAAATTTAGTTATATATAATTTTAAAGAGTTCAAGTTTTTTGTCACTTCTCTTCTTTCTTCTTTTTTTTTTTTTGTTTCTTTTAAGTTTTTTACTTTTATCTTTCGTTCTCAAGTCTATTAGAATTAATCATCCTTTATTTTTCATCTCCATGTTTATCTTCTTGAATTTAATGTTTTTTTCTTATTTTTTTAGTTGTTCCTTTTTTTTGTGATACATAAACTTTATTTTATTTTATTTTTCACTATTCACACCCTGTATTTTGCAATCAGGATAAAATGTGTCACTACCATTGAAATCACAAGTGACGAGTTTTAATGATAACATTTTGTTGAATATATATATATATATATTTATTTATTTCTGATAAATTTATTAACACATTTTGTAGATAGTGTGTTAGACAGCAATATAACTTACTTTTTTTTCTTTATATAGTTTGTATTATGTTATTATACATAGCGTATACGCGAAGCGCGTCTGATCCATCTAGTAGAGTTATAAATCTCGAAACGATTTCTTCATTTTAAGTTCTTCCATCCCTTTTGGTTTGACGGTCATCGAGCTTCTTCTCTTTGGTGTTCTTTAGATTTCAAATTTTTGCTTTGGTTGGAAATATCAAATTTTTTGGACCATTAACAATTCAACATGAATTCGGGGTACCCCAGAAGAGTCGTACCAACTTGGCCTCGCTGTTCATTGGATTTCTCGTTTTAGTTAATATTCTTTTGCTTGGTTAAACTATTTTATTGCTTTTTTCTTTAAATCCCACATATGTTACCAGCTAAGGTAAACCTTATAAAAGGATTAAAAGTTTCTTGAAACTAAAAAGTAAAACTTATAAAAGGGCTAAAAGTTTCTTAAAACTAAATAAGACTTAAATAAATAACTACAAACGATACAACTATTTAAAAATTAATAAAATACATAAATATATAAATAACTCAGAAATGGTCGATAATTCTTTGTTGGAAACTTCTATATTGAAAATCTAAATAGGAAAATTTTTAAAAATGAAAAAAAAAAAAACCTTCTTTTGTTTAGTTAGTCGTCCACTAGGATAGGAAGACGAAAAGGTTAACAAGGTCTCGTCAACTTAATTTTCGACTAAGACGAGCGACTATGTTGTTCACTTTAGCATTGGAGTTTAATCACGAGATCCAAGTCAATCTTGGGATAAGCCTCGATCGTCTATCTTGCAGCTTTGGATTTCAAACATCCACATGAAGGTGAGGAGTCCAAACTGAACCCTAGGCTTATTGGGCCTAGAATTAGGTTACATGGAAATTAAGCCACCGTTTAAACCTATTCCGTTCGGGTTTCAGGAAACAGGTAAAATCACCTCTATATAAAGAGGTGGTGCCCCTCCCATAATGAAGATTTTCTACCTATCTTTCACACTTCATACACACGCATAACTACCTCTCTTTCTATTCTCTCTATTCTCTTATTGACTTAAGTATCGGAAAGTCTACTCTCGGGAGACACCCGAGACTCTGTCTTGCTGGTTTTAGGCCATCCGCCGCTGCCTAGATCATCATCGCCGCCCATCCTAAGGCACCGTGCAGATCCATGCTTCGTAATAAGGCAAACTAGACATTACGTTCATTGACGACGAGCCACATTTGGACTCCTCATTGATAATGAGTCTACTTTTAATTAATTTAGATACACAAATGTCCTTCGGTCAATTCACGTGCATATCACCTAAAAGAAAGTTAATTGTTAGTTTTAGATGAAATTCTAAAAGAAAATTAGAAAGTAGCGCCTTTTAAGTTTATAATGTCATATAGTAACTTTTGAAACTTATATTTTCGAATAAATATAGCGTGTAACATTGTGGTAATTTTGGAGTAATTTATTGTAAATGAAAAGATTTAGTAGTAATACGATTAGAGAGAGTTATTAAAGAGTTCACTGCAGTACAGATTTTCTAGTCTACTGCAGTACAGATTTAGGTTGGGTATCAAATAAAGCCTAAACAAAAACAATTATAAACTCTATGGACCGGATTATTGGTCACCGTTCCTATAATGACGGCAACTGCAGCGGTGACCATAGTCTGGAATGATACTCATGCACCATCTCCCGGAACCACCATGACTAACAGTGTTGCTGATAAACAAATCTGACAAGCAATTCGCCAAATCCGTGGGTGCATATCTAACAATTGATACTACTATTGCTCTTTTGTGCTTCTCATAAAAGACTTGATACGTGGGACAAGCTTTCTGTATATAGAATATTTGACTTTGTCGAGGAGTTTTGGATCGGGTATGACCCATGAACTCTTGGCTCGGTACGCCTCTTCTAGCTAAACCCGAATTAAATTTTCCAAAAGATCCAGTGATTTTAGATGAGGGGATTGCCTGCTGCCAGACCATCTAGAAATGATGCCAGCGTCTTGGCCCAACCGGTCTTTTCGTATTTCTCAATATAATGTTTGTCCTTTGACTCGTGGATAGATGCATGTTCAATCGAACCCAAAAGGAGGTCCATTTTGGATGTTTTGACATTGGAAACTATGTAGTTCAGGTTGAGCTAAAAAAAAAAAAAAGTGTCACGTGATCCTTGTAAAGAGCCACTTTGCAGTCCTGGTTACAGAGGAGCATTAGGATAATCCATACCAACCGGACGGAGATCGCTGTTCTCCTACAAATGACCATTAGGGCTAGCAAAATAAAAAGCTGGAAATGCATTTTGCGGGGTTCAAGGACTGCCGGCGATGATATCTGGCAACGAGCCACCGTAGTCAGAAATGTAGCCAAGTAATTTATCACGTAGCGAGTGAGTGGATGATTAGATGCCCTTCACTTAACTCAAGTTAACCGTTAGTTTTTAGATAAAACTTTAACATAAAATTATAAACAAACGCTTTTTAAATTTATGGTATCATATAGTAATGTTTGAAACTTATAATTTGAAATAAATATAGCTTATAACTTCGTGGTAGCGTTGGATTGTAGATGAAATGATTTAGTAATAATACCATCAGAGAGAATTATTAAAGAATTCACTACCATCTTTACATAACTAGACATAATTTTCTAGTCTAAGAGGAGTACAGTTTAGGCTGGAAAACAATTCTAAACTCTATGGACCTAATTTTTGGTCACCGCTCCCATGATGACGACGGTGACTGTGATGATGATGGTAATCTGGAAAAATACTCATCATACACCGTCGCTGTAGAACTCCCTGATGGACCACCACGACTGACAGTGTCTTTACCAACGAACAAATCCGACAAACAATTCACCAAATCCTCGGTTGCATATCTAATAATTGATTCTACTGCTGCTGTTCTGTGCTTCTCGTAAAAGACTTGATAAGTGAGGACTAGCTTTCTATATATAGAAACTTTGACTTCGTCACGGAGAATTGGATCGGGTATGACCCATGAACTCTGTTCTTGATATGCCTTCTCGAAACCCGCATTAAATAGTCTAAAACACTCAGTGATTTTAGCTGAAGGAATGTCTGCTGTCGGATCATTTGGGAATGACGCCAGTGTCTTGGCCCAGACGATCCTTTCGTATTTCTCAATGTATTGCTTGACTTTTGACTCGTGGGTTGATATCCAATCATACCCTAAAAGGAGCACAAGTTTGGGTGTAGTTTTGACCCTGGAAACTGTATAGTTTAGGTTGTTGGCTAAGAAAAGATAAGAGAGCGCTACGTGGTCCTTGTAAAGCTCCGCTTTACAGTCCAGCTTAGAGATGAGCATCAGGATAATCCATGCCAACCGGACGGAGATCGTCCTCTCCGGCAAATGACCATTACGGAGATCGGGACTGGCGAAGTAAAAAGCTGGCAACGTATTTCGAGGGGCTGAAGGACTACCGGCGATGATATCTGCCAACGAGTCGCTGTAGTCGGAAAGGGCAACCAAGTAATTCATCACGTAGCGAGTGAGAGGATGTATGGTCCCACCGGGTAACGCCGTCTTGGGAGTATCTTTATCGATGGCAGACTCAAACTGAGTGAGCATAACCCTAACCGCCTCCGCAAGCTTCAAAAGTGACGTCTTCGCCTGAGATTTGACGTTGGAGAAGTAATCAGAGGAGAAAACCATTTCAATGTCATCCCGGAGCCCAGAGGGGTCCTCATACATGTTCAAAAACATGAAGATTTTTTCCGGGGAGAGAATCTTCTTATTCTTGGCTACATTCTCGACAAAGCTGAAGAGGGAGAGAGCCCGATCTTGACAGATTTCGGCTAAACAAGCGTCTCCAATGTTATCTTTCTCTAAGTTAGAGAAAACATGGTCGCAAAGAACCCTTTCCCCACGGAAAAGTGTCTTGACGGGGGTCCTGACAACAGCTCTCCAATTCCGCATTTTGACTTCCAGAGAATCCCATCCGAGTTTCTTAATCTGGGACATCTGCGAAGAGTGCTCCAATTCGTAGAATCCGAGATTATACAAAGCCTCATCAATGACGGATTTCCGAACGATCTTGTAAATAAAAACACATTCCTTTTTATATCCAGAGGTGATCATACAATCCGCTATACTTCTGATATTTGTCATTATGAGCTCGTTGATTTTGTCCGCTTCTGACTCAATAAACCCACTGTGCAATCTTCCTTCTTCATTAAAAGATTGAGAAACTGATTCTGGTGAGAGAATCGTCGTCCTGTACGTCTTGAGTATATAATGGAATTCCTTTTCTACCCTTTTCATGGCAATTTTAGTTAAATTGTGTGCCCTTAGAACCATAGCTGACCTGGAGTTTTCCGCGCGTAACAAAGGCATCGCTTGCTGCGAATCGCGGATGGAGCCGAGGAACTGCTGGGCTTCTTGGATGTTTTCTTGGGTGAAAAGTGATTGGAAATGTGAGTCGTGAAGGTTGGTTGTTGAGAATCTAGCATCCAGGTTCCATTTCTGAATTATCTGTTCCGCATTGTCGATTATGTCCTCCAAGGCCGTTTCTGAGAATGTAGGGCCATCAGTACTGGTAGACTGATCATATAGTGATGATGATACTGAATTCGTGTTATCCTTGGACAAAAGTTTGGAAAACATATTCTTCATCTTCGTTTCAAACATCCCAAAAAAAACAAAAACCCTCACTTCTCTGCTGATGAAGCTGAACAATGCCTTCACCTCTTTTTTTTGTATTGATTTTTGTCTGATCAATGAAGGAAGAATGGGAGAAGATGCTGAGGAGGAGTGAAAGAAACTAAAAAAAATGATGTATTTATAGTTTATAGAGAGAGAGGGGAGACTAGAGCAGGAACGGAGAAAAAGAGTTCTTCTAATTTTCTATCATTCTAATGAGGAGGAGGACTATGGCCATATTGTTGGATGATGATGTAATAGATTGTTACTGGGTGTTGTAATTAAAGGATTATTATGTAACAATTTGGAGTAGTTTAATTTGTTTTATCTTATTTAATGTTTTTGTTAGTTTGATCGAGGTTTAAAAAAAGGTCTGACATTTTGACAATGATTTCCCGTTAAATTTGTTGGTGAGTTGTAAGAAATTATAGTCTGTCCTAGTTAATATTGGCCTTCTTTTTTTTCTTTTTTGAAGCAAATCACAATTTATTGTGCCTTCGTCTCCATTGTATTTTTAAGCACATCGAAAAAATTATTCCATTATATTGTTTTAGTGTATTGAACCAAATCAAGATGAGACTACAATTGAGTTCTTCTTATTTTGTTGTTCATTTTGTTCAGACAATTGCAACTTTGCGTGGCTACTTACGGTATCAAGAAAAGACTGTCGCACTGAGTTCTCATGAACTCTTGAAAGAGTAACGATTCAGCTAATATAAAAATCACAGTGGACTAAGAAAATGATTATTAACCAAACAAAGAAAGATAATTATAACTATTGGAAAAAATGAAATGACCATATCATGCTCTCAATAATTGCTAATATCATAAGAAACTATTGTATACTTATATATATGTATATTTATATATATATATATATATATATACATATATATACACTACATCACTCTGTCGCTATTTATTTTCTCATTTGCAAATCATTTACTGTTTGTATCATTTCCGTTTTTCTTTTCCTGACATAGTATCATGATTATCATTATTTTGGGGTTTTGGGGATGAAGGTCCATCGTTTTTATCTTGATTATGGCAAAACTAAATTTTAAAAAGACTTGATCGGAAGAACAATTTCTTTAATCACACTAGTCATTGATTCGGTAGACATATTGCTAGCAAGAAGACAAGAACTAGAGACTGAGAGTGCAAACATCAGTAAACATAAGCATAAAGAATTAGAGTGGTTGAGTTGGGATTAAGCCGAATTTAAGTAATAATACACGAATATAACACGGGTAATCTATGTCGTTTTAACAAACACTTTCATGGTTAGATCGCCTCATCTGATATGTTATGTCATTTTCAACTTTCGCAGTTTCTTTGTTTGTTCCTCACGTTATGACTCTCTCTTTGGCAAAATGACAGTGGATAATATATATATATATATATATATATATATATATATATATTTTGGTTGAAAATTAGTCAAACTCGAACAAACACGAAATTTGTTGATTCCATAATAAGACATATTATCTCTTTTAGAGTAGCAAAAAAATATTTAAAAAAATTTAATCCAATTGTTTGGAATACAAAAAATACTACCGTGGTTCAAAGATGATATATAATATCGGTGTTTATTACTAGTGAATTGTTATTATTTAAATATTGTTTAGCCACTTTAATTGTTTAAAAAAAAAAGAAAAAATAAAAATTGTTTCATGTTTGACATTAAATATTCCGATTGAGTATATGAGTTGTGAGAAATTATATCATTTACCCTTGAATATGTATCGAAGTGTAAAAGATTCTTGATTTGTCCTGATATTGGATTTTCATCGAAGCAAGTGCGCCTTATTCTTTATCATTTTAACTCCATTCTATATTAAGCTCCTTACATTAGAAAAAGTATCCAATACATTCTTGCAACTCTATTTCTGTATCAAACAAATCAAGATTGGAATATAAATTGATTCCTTCTTCGTCCAGTGGTTTGTTGTTCACTTTGTCTAAAAACTTACAGTTTGGCGACATAATGTTTTTGACTATTGTATTGGTGCTCATAGACTTCACTCACTCTTGAAAGAGTGATGATACCGTTAGTTAGTGGAATATTACAGTGTTTATCCCTTTTACCCTATTAAAGCAGAATACATGATGTTGATGTGGTAACTTCTCATTAAAAATTTTTGGCTCCAAATGCACCATATTGCATTAACTATTCTGCCACGTATCATCCTTTTTTTTAAAAAAAAAAAAAATTCTTATCTGGAGAAACAAAAGCTATTTTACAAAAATAGCTACACAATTTTAACTCCTAACATTTTTCATTTATCAATCAAATTAAAATAGTATTTAAATTTGCCCATAAACTTATCCCCTTTATTACTCCACATTCTTTTGTATGATTTCTGCATGGTTGTACTTTTTAATATTTTTTCTCCTTTGGGAGATGATTTTTTTATTTTTAGTTTTATTTTTGGCTAAAAAAGGAAAAAAAAAACTAAATGTGTAGTTATTTTATTTTTTTCAAATCAAGAATTTATTTATCTATTAACACAAAATTAAAGTAAAAGGGCCCCCGGGCATTTGCCGGGCCAAGCATCTAGTTATGTAAATAAAAAAAAAACATAGGATAAAAAGTAATAATAGTATGAAAAATGTTTCAAACTATGTTCTTAATGTACGGTCGACTTAATACAAGATGATTATGTATTTTGTACACATCAATAAAACGATACTCTTTCTGCCTTAAAAAAATAACAAATTTCATTCTAATATAAATTTATTTTTTTCTTTGGAAAGAGGGAGTATATTATTTCCCGTGTTGAAAATTAATAAATATGAAGCTTGATCTTATAAGTTATATACTCCCTCCGGTCCATAATTATTGTCCTGTTTGAGTTTTCATTTTTAGTTCAAATTGTACTAAAAGTGAAAACTCAAACTGGACAATAATTATGGGACGGAAAGAGTACATGTTTGCACTTATACTTGGGGAGTTAAGGTCCATTACCGGTATATATTTCTTGATTCTGACTATATTATACTCCTTCTAATTGAGTGGACTATTTTCTTGGCAGAAGGTAGGATTACATTTGAAAAACACTCGATTGATCGGTCGACCAAGTTTCTTTAGACGAACTAGTCATTCTGGTTGAACGTACTGGTAGCTCGAAGACTTGAAAGACCTGAGAGTGCTAAAAGTCGTCACTCTATAAGAGAATACGACATTGCAAATATTAGTAAGCAAACTTAATTAGAGTGATTACTTTGGAATTAAGTCGAATTGAAATCATAATACACGAATGTTACACGGCAATAGATGTCATTTTAACAAGCACACTTCCTGGTTAGATCGTCTTGTTTGATATGTTTATGTCATTTTTATTTGTCAGCGTTGTCTTTGTTAGTTTCCTCAGCCTTTGACTCTCTTCAGGAAAAAAAAAAAAAAAAAAAAAGGACAAAAGGATTAATTTCTCCATGCATATGTACATGTATATTTAAATTCAATTATAGTAGTTGATTACAACATATATACAAGAATGTAGTCTGGAAAACTGTCCGGAATGGAAACTTCTGTCTCAAATTTATTGTCCAATTTAAATTTTTATTTTTAGTTCAAGGCATATTAAAAATAAAAAACGAAATTAGACAATAATTTTAGGACGGATTCAGTACCATTTATATACCAAAACTTCAGAGCCTATAACATTTGTTTTAAATTTTATCAATCCCCTTAATCAGCCAAATTTTGCATCCAGATTACAACTTACGAGGAATGGCCTTATATTGAGCTTCTTCGATTCGCTTTTGGTTTCTAAAAATATCACTGATAGATTTGATTGATAGAGTCAATCTTAAGAATTTGGATCGAGCTGATGTAGTGATGTGCTTTGCATCAGTTAAAGCGTACGCCGTGGAAGGAACTAGCTAGTTGTCTTAGTTTAACTAAACTAGCTTTTATTTTTTTCCCCCAAAAATATTTATAAAAAAAAAAAAAACAAAGAAGAAGAAAAACTAAACTTCGTACTTTTAATTGTATGTTCAGTTTGAATCCGGTTTTGGCGTGTATAACTGTGTAATTGCAATGGGGTTAACTGGGGAAATGTCTAACTGGTGAAATTTCTGGTGCCAACTTGAAGTAAATAATTGGAGTTCTTCAGCTCAATCCATTGGTTAAAAAATATTTAATATACTGCGTAGTCTCTCTTAAATTATACCACTCCTTTTAACATTGACTTGCCATTTACGTATTTGAAGAAATACTCATCAAGAAATACCCATTTCGAGTGCGCTAATCAAACGTGTATTTTCAGTATTTCCTACTTAACAATATTCTTTTAATTTGAATTGTCACCTTATAAATAGAAAAGAAAAGAATAGTAATTGTTGAGTACGTAGTGACAACGACCCACACCCACTCATTTCTATATATGAACTAGTAATGTCTTTTTACGTTTTTCTATTAGTCTGCTTCTCAAAAATTACCATGTTAATTAATATTGGAGTATGACATTTATATTTTGTTACTATTTTCGGATTGACTACTTTTGATTAATTAAGGGTAGATTCTACTGATACCTGCATGACACGCACGCGACGCGCAACGAAAATTGAAAACAATTCCCTGGCTCGTATCAAACGTTGTAGCTTACTGGCAAGTTTTTAATATTCATTAATTAGTTTGAATATACGATTAATTTTGATGACAAAATAAAGAAAAATTCAAGGGCCCCGTTGTCTAATTTGAGGATTCGGTCCCGTTAAAATTTAACCAATAGAAAAGTTACGCATCAATATAATATTAAACTAGGTGTTAGACCCGTCCGATGGACGGGGAAGGCATACACATTTAGACATTTTTACATAAATTTTGTATTTTTATAAAATATGTAATGACTTCAGTTTTAAACATGATTACCTCTGGATTTACAGGAACTTATTTTTTTTAGATGACATTTTAATTCACTGGTGATAAGGTTTATGCAGATCTCTCTAAAATTTGTTAGGATTTGATACTCTCTAAAATCAATCTCTGTGTTAGGATTTGGTTCATGAAAATAAGGGTTTGGTTTTTATTTTTTTTTTTCAAAAAAATTATTTTAGTTACTTTTTTTTTAGTTTTGTTATTTTGTTTTGTGCATTTTTAAGTCTAAGAAATTAAGAAAATGCCACATAGGATTAAATCCTATGTGGCATGTGCTCCATGCCTTTAGTTTTCTCTCTCTGGTTTTTGTCTTAGTATAGTATATAGAAGATTAGATTTCTTAATGCTTAATTTTTTTTTACCTGCTAAGTAGGTAAACTTACCAAAATTTAAAAAATTGAATAATTTAGGAAGATTTCAGTATTTAAAATAGCAAAATCATTTTTAACTAGTAGATAAGTTTCTTTTTTTCATTATATGTATTGCACAAATACTTATTTATGATTTCACATTATAGTTTATAAAATATTGCACATAATTAATTAATAATTAATTGCACCATATTTTGTTTCCTTTTATTTTTATAATAAGTTAATAATTGATATCCAAGCATTGTACTTTTGAGGATGCAATTCCACATTCAAGAAAAATATATTACACGTTTACTTTAAAACAATTGCATTATACCAAAATTTTTATAATTCTTAATTAAACTTTCTTAATTTATTTTTACATTACAAAAATATCTATGTGTGATTGTGCACTTGCTCATTAGAAATTACACTTATATTTATACTTAATTGCACATTGGCTTAAAAAACATTGCACCATTTCTTATATAAGTTTTATTTAGTAATATTCCAAAGGAAAAAAAAACACATTTTTAATGTATAATGAAAGAGAGAAGACAATGGTGATAAGAAATAACGTACTCACAAATGTACTACGTTTAAAAATATATTCTTATGCTTTAGTTTTGTTGCATGTTAGTTTATAATACAATGCATCAAATTTTGATACATAATTGCACCATCAATCTTTACCCTTAATATATTTTTTAAACCAATTGCTATGAGTATCATTATTAGAAGAGCAAGACTAAATAAATTTCGATATTCATGGTCAAGTATATACGAAGAGTAAGAATAACGAATAAAATTACTCATTTAGAATGATTATCATCAAAATTTAGTAAGGTCGTGTATTTTTATTTTATTTTTTCTCAATATAATAATAGTCATACAAGCATTGTACATTCAAGAAAAAATAAATCGTATGTTTTACTTGTAAACAGTTAATTTATTGATTGCTCATAATTTTTAATTAATTTTATTAATTCCACATTTTCTCATGAAGAATTGCACCTGTATTTATTCATGATTGCACATCTCCTAAAAAAATTGCACTACATATCATAATAACCTTTTTTTTTTTGCACATAACCAACAATTAGAATTAATTTTAGTATAGTAATAGACTCTCATTTATTCAAAAATCACTTCATCTTTTTCCATTCTCCCTAATTACAAGATCTCTAAATTTTCTAGAAGCAAAGAACTTGATGATTGGTTTCGTAAACAACAAAAACAACAAGCAACAAATTAAGGTATATTATTCGTTAAAACAAAATAAGCAATTTTCATGGCGTGAATAGGGAATTGCACCACTACAAAAAAGAAAAAAAAAAAAAAAAAAAACAAAACAAAAACCAACCAGCGAGAGAGAGGAAAAGAAAGATAGAGATAGATTAGGAGAAGATTTCCAATTAAACTAAATACCTTAAATAACTAACTTTGGGCTACAGGTTGCCTGTAAAAAAAAATTCTTATTTTTTTTAATCAATGCAAATTCTATGATTATGATTAATTTAAATTGATCTAATGGTTATTAATAAAATAACGGGATCATACTCTCAAAATTGTGAATGGGATTGTAGCTTTACCCAAAATTATGATCTTCTTAGGATGAGCATGTCTCAACTATGACTAAAATAATATTTATAATTCATTCAACAACCAAGTTCTTTTTTCTTTTTTTATCATAACGAAACATCCTTATAATTAGTGAGCTGCTAGACTTTACAATTATTAGTAGACTTTTAAATAAAGGGATCAGCAAGTCCTCCACTTGCTCTTAATTTTAGTTCTCGATTGCTTGTTAATTTGCTTAAGTCTTCACTCTATACTTTTACTCATTGACAGTTGTAATATAGCTTCTGTGAAGCTGATTTTCGTTGCATGCACTCGTTTTATTACTTTTCATTCTAACCTCGGGTTGTTTTACATCCTTTTCATGATGTAATAAGAGGCAAAAACTTGTTACGATATTAGATGGTTATTAATTGTGTTTCTTCTTGTATCTTAACGACTTGACCCCTTCTCTCTAACACCATCAAATTATAAATGAATCTGGATCTTACATCTCCTACATTTCCCGTCTGAAATCGAGTAAAATTTTGCTTCTCGAATTGTATGTCTAATTTCACTGGGCAAGGGTCCTAGGGAACAACTAATTGACTTTCATATTTTAGTTTCACAGTTTCACTTTGTTTCGGGAGTTAATTTGTGTCTCAAAACCCTCGTCGAAAACAAACGTTACCCAGACTTTAACAATTTATCCTTTCGGGGTCATGATACATGCATGTCTGGCTTTTGGATGGTTGAAATCGATGCAGTCATTCATGGTAAAATATATAGTGACAAATAAAAAGACAAATACACCACCCACTTGTTAAACATGTCCATTTATTAATCAAGTGTAAACATATAATTTTAGGGAAAAAATAAAATTTCAACGGGAAAGTAATAAAAAAAAAGAGGCCATGATTATTGCACATCAATCATTATATTTTGTACTAGTTTCATTCATTAATAGTATCATTTTCCTATATAATAAACACCTTCGTATATAAACACAACTTTTACACGGAATAAAAGAGATTAACTTGCTAATTAAATATTCTTTCCGTCCCAAAATTATTATCCAATTTGGATTTTTACTTTTAATTCAATTTGTACTAAAACTGAAAATTCAAATTGAACAATACTTTCAGATAGAGTATTCATATCTCAAAATGAGTGTCACTTTACTCAATTAATATATGATTCTTATGTTGTTGTTGTTGAGGGTCATGTCACAAGGATCAATGTTTTCAAAATCGGGATTTTACTCGGGATCGTGTTGGCGTCTCAAGATCGGATCGGATTCTGGATCGGTGGGATCGGATCGGATTCTGGATCAAAACCATTTAAAATATTATAATAATTCTAAAATTGCGAATTTCAATTTATTAGTTTAATTCTTGATTGATTTTATAGAGGAAAAGTATATTAGCTCCCGCATAAGTATCACCAATTCAAAATTTTAACTTTTATATCTTTTCTAATCATTTTTTCCTCTTTTTAATACGAAATCAACAATTTGTACAAGTATCGACAAAATCAATGGGATCGCTGGATCGTAGGATTCTACGATTTGGATTGGGATTTTGAAGGATTCTATAAGATCCCACTACAAAGAAGGATTTTATAAGATCCAGGATCGATTTCCTAATTCTGGATCGTAGGATTCTAAGATCCGGATTGGGATTTTGAAAACTATGACAAGGATTGTAAATCTCATATCAGAGGCATGAGGGCATGTGAATCATTTAATAAGTAAGGTGGACTCAGAACCCATCAGCTTGAACTTTTGAGTTCAGACGGGTCTTATCTTACTTATTGGGCTACATGTCGGATTTTCTCCTCTGGATAAATCCTCAACAGTGGTATCAGATCCCAGGTTGAGCCAGTTAGGTAGGTATTTTAGCCATAATTATCTCGATTGATCTGACTGACCCCACGCAGTCAAAGGCCCACTACGAGCGGAAACGTAGGGATGGGCGGCCCAATTACTCAGGTAGAATACAAATTTGAGGTTGTTAAGATAATTTGGAAGCCTGATGTGGAGATTGCCCATAACGGGAAAGAATGTTGAGGGTTATGTGGAAAGGATTATGAATCCCACATCGGAGACATGAGGACATGTAAATCACTTAATAAGTAAGGTGGATTCAGAACCCATCAACTTGAGTTTTTAAGTTCAAACAGGTCTTATCTTATTGGGTTACATGTCGGATTTTTTCATCCGGATAAATCCCCAACAGTTATATGTATAAATAATATGATAATTATCTTGAAATGGAGTGGACATTTTAGACTTGGTATCTTTCCGTATAATTTGTAGAAGTTCTATTAGAGATTCTAAGAACCACTTTTGATAACCTAAAAAGTTAGCGGTCGGCAATCGTAGTATTGTTATGGTCGATTAATCGTAGTATTGTTAGCATTTCTTCCAACGTAAAACTAAGAAATTTTAAATTTTCACTTCACATTGGTAAGCTAGTTTGTCTTTTTAGTGTCCATTTTGCTGTAGAGGCATCATGTGAACTTTTGTTAATCAAAAAGCAAACTTGACTTTGAACTTTTCCCTGTTCAAAATAAATTAACAAAATCTCTATAGCAGACAGCAGTTTTTACTTTTTAGCTTACGTCCACATTTGTGCGTTAGTTTTGTTGGATCAAGCTGTGTTCACTTCTAACATCCACATCTGTCCATTCATTTCACAAAATTCTTTTTAAAAAAATGTCGTTATAGTTTGCTGGTGGTAATCGTAGCTTCCAGATTGTTGGTTCCAACTTCCAAGTTTTCACTTTTCACTATGATTTCAAATCTAGGGTTAGCCACCGTTGGTAAAGAAGAGGTTTGACGATTGATCATGCAGAAATTTTGGGAAAAATGGCCCAACAATGTTATCTAGACACATTAATGTGGAAAATACCAGTGTTCACACCTTTCCTTAAGAGCTCATATGTGGATTGAAAGGATTTTCTATCTTTTGATCGAAAAAAAAAAAGAAAAGAAAGGACTTTCTTCCTGATTGTCCAATCTCTTCTTGAATCTTAACCTTTACATTTCACTCATTCCTACTCTATATTCTCTTGTACAAAACTCTAAGTGGTCTTTTTAGGCCGGCAAACAAATAATGGCCAAAGCCGCCAAATCCGCCAAACCCAAGAAATGTGATGGTAAACTTTACATATATCCTATCTGTACTGATCACCAACCCCGTGAAGAAGATGGCGGTGATTGTGACGGTGAGCGCGATCTAGAACTGCCGCCGCTAATGGAATTGCCAAAGAACAAATCCGACAGGTAATTCTCCAAATCCTCAGGGGCATACCTGACAATTGAACCTTCCGCTATCTTTCTGTACTGCTGGTAAAACACTCGATATGGCGCGACCAGTTTCTTAAATATAGAAACTTTGACTTCGTCACGGAGATTTGGGTCGGGTATCACCCATGAACTCTGTGCCCGGTATGCTTCTTCAAAACCCGAATTGAATTGCTCGAAGCAATCAATAACTTTACGTGAAGGGGTATCCGCCATTGGATCGTCGGGGAGTGACGCCAGCGTCTTCCCCCAGCCGATCTTTTCGTACTTCTCAACATACTGTTTGACCTTTGACTCATGACTGAATATCCAATCGGACCCCATAAGGAGGACCAGATTCGATGTTCTGATCTTCGAAACGACGTAGTTCAAGTTGTTAGCCAAGAATAGGTAGGAAAGCGCCACGTGTTCCCTGTAGAGCCCCGCTTTGCTGTCCAACTTGCAGAGAAGGACAAGGATAATCCACGCCAGCCGGACGGAGAGCGCCGCTCCCGGCGAGCTGTCCTCAACGCCGCCGCCGACGACGGAGATTGGGCTGGCGAAATAAGACGCCGGCAAGGGCGTATGCGGCGCCGACGGCCAGTCGGCGATGATATCTGCCACCGGACCGCTGTAATCGGAGAGGAGAACCAAGTAATTCATCACGTAGCGGGTTAGAGGATGTATCCCGCCGCCGGGAACCGCCGTCTTGGAGGTTTCTTTCTCGATGGCTGACTCAAACTGAGAGAGCATTACTCTCACCGCCTCACCGAGTTTCAGGAGTGAATTCGTCGCCTGAGATTTGACGGCGGAGAAGTAGTCCGAGGAGAACACCGTTTCGACGTCGGCCCAGAGCTCGGAGATGTCCTCGTACATATCCAGAAACCGGAAGATTTTCTCCGGGGAGTAAATCTTCTTATTCTTGGTTACATTCTCGGGAAAGGTGAAGAGGGTGAGAGCGCCGTCTTTAGAAATCTCGGCAAAACAAGATTCCCGGATGCTTTTGGAGGAAGAGAAAACGTGGTCGGAAAGTACCCTTTCGCCGTGGAAGAGGGTTTTCACGGCGGTCCTGACGGCGGGTCTCCATTTCTTTATTTTGATCTCCAGAGCATCCCACCCGAGTTTCGAAACCTGGGACTGAGAATATTCCGATTTGTCGACTCCGAGATTGTACAAAGCCTCATCGACGATGGATTTACGGATGATCTTGTAAATGTAAACGCATTCTTTTCCGTATCCGGAACCAATCATACAATCCGCTATACTTTTTAGATTCGCCATCACGAGTTCGGTCTCCTTGTCAGCTTCGGATGACTCGATTAAAGAGCTCTTGAAGCTTTCGAAATCGAAAGATTCGCCGTCGTCGGAGTTTCCCTCTTCGTCGGAGAATCTCGACCCGGCGGAAGAAGAATGCCTGGAGTAGTAGCGGCGGTGGTTGGTTGAGCGCCCGGAGACGGATTCCGGCGAGAGAATGGTCGTCCGGTGAGTCTTGAGGATGGTGTGGAATTCCTTCTCTAACCGCTTCATGGCAATTTCCATCAAGTTGTGTGCCCGGACGAGCATGGGTGAACCGGAATCATCCTCGTGGAAGTAACGCATCGCGTGCCGCAAGTCGGAGATGGCGCCGAAGAACTTTCGGGCTTCTAATTGGGCTTCTCCGGTGGTGAAAAGTGTCGGAGAATTGTTGTAGGAAGAGTCGGTTAAAGTGGGCCGGGAGTCCAAATCCCATTTCCGGATAATCTGCTCCGCGTTTTCGATGTCTTCCACCATGATTGTTTCCGAAAAAGTACGCCCAGTAGCTGAAGTATGGTGGGATGAAGACACCGAACTGTTATCTTCCAAAGAAATTCTGATAAGCACGTTCTTCATCTTTTTCTGTTGTTTAAGAGATATATGAAATTATCTGCTTATGAAATAAAGGTGAACGCTGGGTTTCGAAAGATGAAGGTATAATGATGATTGATTTTGATCAGTGATTTCTTTGAGATGAAGTAAGGAAGAATGGAAGAAAGCAAAAGAATGAGAAAGTGAGAAGTGAAAAAAGAAGAAAGTATGATGTAATATTTATAGAAAAGATAAGAGAGTCAAAAGGGACTTTGGGAGGCGGGCGGAAATAGGATAGGAGATGAGAGGAGATTTTGACTGGGTGGACGCGCTGGCTTCAGGAGCCTTATCAGCCTTTGCTCTTGGACATTAGCACACCAATGGAATAAAATTAATTTATATTTGATACAAAGAATTTAATATGGTAGTTTCTTATGTAGTTGAAAATAGAGTCCAAGTATTCACGAATTCAATTTGAAGGAAAAAAAAAAAAAGACTCAGTGAAAATATACCCCCACAAAAAAATTTGAAATTTGTATAGATTAATTTTTGTCAAGAGACAATATGGAAGGAAATTAAGGAATGTCATTTGATTTTTGTAAGTAGGAGAAACATTGTCAAAAAGTTCACTGTGATGCTTCGCGTGTTGATTTTTTCATTACTTTATTGAATTAATTGTGGTGGAGAAATTACGCTGTCCTTAACATTCACATTATCGTATTGGCGTATTGTTGGAATAAATCCATGAACCGTAGAGACCTTCACATCAAATTATCGAGAATTGTACGAAAGTAGAAACGTACATTAATCTGTAGCGACATGAACATCGATCCAATTTGGTCTTCTAGATGATTCCGTCAAGCCCTTACAGAAACCTCTAACTAATGGAGAGCAGAGATTTGGCATGACGACTCATCCGAAAACCACAACCAATATGTAGTAGAATTTTCGGTTCCACCTATCATAAAATCGGAAACTGGACTTTAGGGTTTCTACACAATGTTGGGCCACACTTTAATAAGATGTCGTAAGTCCAATTACTTTAACTGCAATTAGATCACTTAAATTGGGCCAAACCTTAAGATAGCACTTAAATATACAATTAACTATATATGATGTATAATGTCCAAAATAGATCTTAGACGTATAACCTAAAAGTTGAACTTTAACATTTTCACCTATTTTAATGCGGAGGAAAACTCCATGCTCAATAGCAGGAATTGAATATGATGATATTTTTGTACGTTCATTGTTTCATCACCATTTTTTATTGTAACGTAACATTTGATTGGTATGGAACAGAACCGTGACCGGATCCTACAATGTACGTGTTTAAATAATACTAACTTTTAGTTTTGTGAAGAAAACAAAAAATTAATCGCCCTAATATATATTTGTGCTTTTGTTGTATATTTCGAAGCAAACTACACGTTTTCATCACCAATATTGGAGTACATTGTTAGAGCCTTATGTTCGAAAAAATTCTTCCATATATGGCACTTTTATGTTAAATGTTAAGGAGCTGCTGTCTGCTCTATAAAATTTTTCTCATAAAACTTGTCCCTACTCTATATTATGTGTTCAATATTTTTCCAACATATATGGAATGGGATAAAAGAAATGTTCATCATCATTCTCTTTTGATTATGGTTAAACTATACATTTGAAAAAAGTAGAGAGGGTCACTCAAGTTTCTTATAATATGGACTCCATTTAAAATTAAGATTGATAAGTTTGGTAATAATTAACTTGAATAAAAGTTATATTTACATTTTAAATAAAAATATAATGATTTGTGCAAAGAAATTTTACGAGAAAATTTTAATAGAGAATGAATCATAACCTTTTTTACTTATACTTTTTGTCTAAGCGTTTATGCATTTAAAAATAGAGAATAGTTAAGATTTATCCACCTCATTTTTTGTAAATTTTTATGTTGAATTTTCCATGTGTGTATTACGAGGATCCTTAAAAAAAATTACTACTTCTGTCTCACAAGATATATTTTTGATAGAAATTGTACTTTTTTTTTTTTTTTAGTATGATTGACAATTTACAACATGCAAAAATTTTATCGGACGAGTGAGTCTTTATGTATGTCATTTTTACAGGCAGCTTCGTCGTTGTTACTTGTTACCATTTCCAGCATATGAGCCTATGAGGGTCAAAGGAAAATGACACTTTTTGGAATAAAGAATTTTTCTTTTCGTGGTTCAAAATTGAGTCAAATAGTATTTTATGCTGTAAGGTGGCGGGTGAGATCCAACGTCTCAAAATAATTGGTCAATGCATGTTTTGCTCCGGCCTTTTTTCTTTCATTTTTTCTTTTTTTTCCCTTTTCTTTTTGTTTGTTTTGGATTTCTTCCTTCTTTACAGTAAGTTCAATTTGGATGCTTCATTTTAGAAAGCAAACATGAGGTCCTATTTAATGATCCATAACACATACTATTCTACTTGATATTATTTTTTTTTAATGTAGCAAAATAACTATTAAAATGATAGGGAAGAAACACACAAAAAAAAAAAAAAAAATTATATCTGCTGATATGGCTACCTTTTGAAAATCGCTTTAGATGGAGAGGATTATTACAGTTTGGTTCATTTCTGTCACTCGATTTTGGATTTTAGATGGAGGGTCTTTTCATCCCAAAGTTTGGGCCACACAATCCAAAACATCCCAAAGTTTAAGAACATGCCATTTACATCCAAAACTTTTTAAAAACATGTTACATTAGGATATTCGTTAAATTTTTAACTCCAGTTAATTAATTAGTGGTGGTACTTTATTTAGTTTCTCCTCCCTCAATTCTTTTAATCATTTAACATATTCCACTAACTCCCACCTTATAAGAAAAAAGCTAAACCTAATTTGGTCTTCACATCATCCATTCTTCCCTTGCTTAAAAAAAGAAAAAAAAATCCAAGATTCACCTTCTAGATTGATAACAATCATGAGAGGTTTTGTGTGTGTCCTAATTAGAAAGTAAGCCTTATTTCATTTATTTTTTTAAATATATAGCATCATTATAAAAATTGGTGTTGTAATTGATGCAGGGGCATGAAACGTTTTTGCTTGGTATGGATCAAATTTACCAAATGCAAGTATGAAACTTTTTTGACTAAAAAAAATGGGGGAAAAGAACTGAATGAAATATCGTCGTTAATAACTTGAAAAAATCAACAAATGTCTTAATATTACATATTTTTGAAAAGTTTGGAATGAAAATGGCATGCTTTTAAACTTTGGGATGTTTTAGATGGTGTGACTCAAACCTTGGGATGAAAAGGTCCATTCTCCCTTTTATGAAGCATAGTCTTAGAGTCGGTACCTATTTATGTTTATTTCTACTCCATTTTTTTTTTATTCTCATTTTCCCTATGCCATAATGCTTTTCCACGTCAATAAAATCCTTTTGGGTCCATATCCTATCAACTCTCTCTTTTTTTTTTTTTTAACGTCGGGAACTCCACATGAATACGCCTACGTCCACTGTAATAGTCTGCAAACCACATTGAAAGGAAAACCACTCTAAGTAAGGCTGAGGCGACAAGCTCTGGTGCAAAATCGGGAGTTCATGAGTGGATTTGCCATAACAAGCCTTTTAGAGGTGTCAATTGGCAAGATTAGAACCACCCCTCACTCTTGTTGCAGTGGGGGAGTTTGAATTCATGACCTCCTCTTAAGAGCAAGAAAAGTTTTATTACCGAATCAACACCTCATTCATTTCTTTTCCCCTTTCATTTTAAAAACTAGAACTTATGTTTTAGATTAACGCATATGACTTTTTGGGGTGGATAGAGAGAATAATTTTTTTTTTACCATGTTTCAAGATAGAATCCATGAATTGGAAAGATGTTGACATTAATTGTTAAGTATAACGGTGACACGTATTTAGCCAAAAATGAACATTCAAATAGGGGGCTTAATAAGGAGCTCCAAGCTGCATGGAGAAAAATTCTTAAAATGAATGAATGACACATAATACCGTTGGAGATTAGAGGGGGGAAAATGACGAAAAGATCGAGCCAAAAAGGAGAATACGTGCGTTAATTATTAGTTAATTGGCCCATTGCTGAAGAAAAAGGAGACAACTTCGTCAATTACTTAATTAGTATAATCATTACAATATGATTTTGTAATCAGTCAAAAACATATCATATCATTGTTCAATTATTGTAGTGCGTACTGTGTACCAAAGATTGTGACTGTTTCAAACTTAATTCCAAAGACTACAATGTACGTAATAATAACTAATTAATTCCTTAACACGCTCTTTTTATCATAACCACGTAACTACTGTATTTTGGTCTTAAACTATGTTCATGACAAGACCCGTTCAAGCTAATTTTCCAAAGCTCAGTTCTAACAAGTAACAACAACTCCAGCTATAACAAACAATTAAAATATTCTTCAAAATTCCCCACATATATTAGAACTAATGCAAGTAACCAATTATATAAACCTGAAGTGAACCAAGCAAAAAGAAGGAGAAAGCTGGCTCAATCTTGTGGCCGTATGAATTATCATTGGGGATATCTTATACAAGGAGCGTAACTCAATCAACTCCCTAATTTACGATACAAAATCTCTATATATGGTAAGTAGATAAACTACAATATTTCCCATAATATTTACATCGTAATACCTCCTCAAGTTGGAGCATGCAAATTACGAATGCCCAATTTGCCAAGAAAAAAAATCAAACTGTGGTTTTCTCAAAGCCTTAATGAAAATATCAACAAGTTGTACATGATTAGACACATAACTGGGAAGTATAGTACCCTTCAAAACTTTATCCCGAACAAAATGCTAGTCAACCTCAATATGTTTGGTGCGCTTATGAAAAACAGGATTTGCTGCAATATGTAAAGCAGCCTGACTGTCACAGTAAAGTCGAATAGGATGAAGGTGAGAAATGCCAAGAAACTGCAATAACCCATTCAACCACTTCAGCTCGCAAACAGTAGAAGCCATAGATCGATACTCAACTTCAGCCGATGAATGAGAAACCGTATGCTGTTTGTTCGTCTTTTACGAAATAGAAGAAGTACCCAACAGAACAAACCAACCAGTAAGAGATCATCGAGTCAACGGACAACTACCCAATTAGAGTCACACCAGCCAGATAACTGAAGATCCGAGTCAGCACGTAAAAGAATACCTTGGCCAAGATTGCCCTTGAGAAAACGGACAACTCGGAGAGCGGCATCCCAATGAGCCTACATAGGACGCTGCATAAACTGTGTAAGAGTATAAACACAATAAGATAACTTAGGACGAGTAACAGCAAGATAAATCAAACGCTCAACTAAACGCC